ACAGTGGTAATTAAAGTTTAAAAGTCTCAAAAATGCTACAACTACTGTCACAAACTGGATGAATGTGAAGCAACAGCGGTAAAGGAGGATGAAAGCGTAATTAAGGAGCACTATTGGAGTGACTTTGATGGTTATTGGACTCAGGATTCATTCATTTGGATTCCTGCTGTATGAAGAAATTAAAGGACGGCGCGCAAGTGGAAACAATTCACAAAGGGATTAAACTGTTTAAAACACATGCTCAAAGTAAACCGGGTTTTGCCGATGTGTTTATGTGGATTCAAAAGTCGTAAATAATCTACAAACCAATCTGATCGGAGCAACTGAGACAAATAATCCAACTGAAACCGGCATGGACAATGATTATGTTTTTTAAAATGCGCTTATCCAGAAAAGCCTGTTTTGGACACTTTACGGGCAGAAGAAACATTTATATCAAAGAAAGAATTATACATTTCTGTCTTTTTATGCCTTTAATAATACCAACTTGAATGTTTATTAAAATGAATTAATCAATTATTTTGTATATGTTATTGTAATGTAGAGACAAGGCTTTTAGTGACAATCATGTATTTCGTTACAATTATATGTAAAAAAAAAGAATAATAATTTAAAAAAAAAGTCTAAATATGATATTTGGCCTCAAATCATCTGAGGCCTGGCGCCCCCCCTGCGATCTTTGGCGCCCCCCAGGGGGAACCACTGGATTAGCACACATGTTGGTTTACTTATGTCTAAATGCATTCTCTTAAAAGGGCTTCTGTTAGAAAAAACACTATATTTAGCATTATAGTAAATATTTTGTACGTTTTAACAAATACTATGCGCTAAATTATTAAAATGTCAATGCTTGTGCTTTTTTACAGCTGTTAGCATAGCCTCTGCCATTAAACAAAAAAACGTGTTCATTTTTTAAAGTTTTTTATTATTTTTATGCTGTCAAAAGCATTTTCTGTTAGTGTTAAAAAAGTATTCACACATGAATGACCCGTTTGATGCTTTCAAATCGTGCAACATAATAAAACAAACCTGAGGAAATTTGATTAACTGTCATTGACAAAATGCATGGATTTGAATTAAGATATTTCAATATCTTTTGGGGTTTTTTGTGACTGAAAATAATGTTTTTTTAAGGTGTTTGTGAGTCGGTACTGGTGTGTCCGTGCTGCTGAGCTTCTGACTTCCTCTGATCCTTGGAAGTGCCTCTGTTGAGTTTCCCTGAGTAAAAAACAGTAAAGAATAAACACTTTTATAATGATTTGTTTGTAGTTACTATCCTGACAAAGTTACATGCTTTTACATGATAAAAACTAACCCAGAATAACGTAATTCTTTAACAAAAAAACATTTCTTTATTTTTCTTATGTTGCAGCTGATAGCATGTACTTATTGGGGTAAAAGGTAAAGGTACTTAATGTTGGTTTTTAGCATGCTTAGTTTAGATTGAGGGAGATTTAAATTTGATATAGAAATAGTGAGTTTGAGGAAATACATTTTTCAGTCTAAGAAAATGTTGGAAAACTATGCTTCGGAACCCAATTCCTGACATTTGTTTCGTGTGTTTTTCAGTGCATAATTTCATATTCTAATACCAAATGCCCTGATTTAGGTTAGGGTTAGGGTAAGCAAACATTTGTTTGTTTTCCTGTGAGTTGTGAAGACTCTCAAAACATTTCCTACAGATTTTGAACATTTGTTAGCTCTTTTTTTCCCCACATTACAGTTAAGATGAGGAAACAGGCTTTTGATCGTCCCATAGAGAGCCTGTAACAATAAATAATCTTTCTTGTGCTTTACTAAATTGTACATATTATAGTAAGGTGTGTTTGCATACCTTCTCTTCCTCTGATCTCTGGCAGTCCTGGGCTTCTTAAATCTGGGAAATGGACGTCTGACTTCTTCTTGGTCGCTGTAATTCTCCTATCGGACGCTAAGGAGCGCTCACAAGTCTGGCTTTTGTCCGACACCTGAAATAAAAGACATTGGTGTCATTGGAAGACAGTTTCTATGTGATTCTGTTCTTAAACAAGTGAAATATGAGCTATGTCACCTGTGCAGTGAGTGATCCAGACATGTGGTTGGACAGTCGACCGTAGACGCCACCGTGATGCCTCGGCTTGTCTGCAAACCTGTGATAAACACAAAGATTCTGTCATAATTTAAACTAAGAAAACATTGGAAGAGTTGTTGTTAGGGTTGTAACGCCCGACAGGAAACCAAAGGGAAACTTTAAAGACCAAACAAATTTAGGAAGCGCTCAGGAGTAATTCTTTGTTTACTCCTGAGTCCTCAGCATCCAAAATATGTTAATGGCAGCTACTAGCGTGGACCAATTTTGTTTCTTTGAGAATATATCTCTTGTTTCAGACTTATAAGTGATCGCCTCATCCAAGATTTGCTGAATGATTCAAATAAGTTTGCTGTTTGCGGTTTTAGTCTTGGACAGCAGTTTCCCCAACTAGAAGACCATCGTCCAAATGTTTACGGATCATATTCCTACGTAGGCAGCTAGCTACTAAGCTACATCCTTTGGAATTAGAATAGAAACAACTGTGCAGGTTTAAAGCCAAGTGTGTGTCTAAACGTTTTAAGACAAACATATATTGTACTGTACTCTATTGTGCTTGCATGTTTGAACTGCAGTACCTAAGGCTGTGGTTCCCAGGATGGAAACCTGACCCCATGGAAAAGTGATCGCTGGTGGATGGATTGACGACTGGTGAAGAGGGGATGAGGGGTGAGGAAGAGGGAGGGGGAGGAGGTGGAGGTGGAGAGGATTGGGGCTTGCTGATGTTAAACTCATCAACGTCTGGCGTGTTGAAGACGAAGCTTCGTGTCAAAGCTTTGTGGTCTGGAGTCGTAGAGTTGAAACGAGTCGAATCTGCATCAGCTGATCCATCTTTTGTTTCTGGGATGTCTCTTTTCTTTCTCGCCTCTGTGGGAAATGTAATTTTCTGCGTCTTAAGGGTCATTGTTGCGACAGACTTACTGTGGTTACTAAAAGACCCATGCTTCATTTTGGGTTCTCCGATCAAGGATTTGTAGTTAGAGGGTTCAACCTTTGAGATTTGGTCAACTACAGACGTGGTCGTTGAACTGATGAAAACAGAGAGCGCTAAATCCTCTCTGTTTTCTTTGTCCGATACTTTCAATGTCTTTGGAATAATGGTTCCTAATGGTTCATTGCTTTCAGAGATTTCAATCGCCACAGTGGTTCTGGATTCTGCAGTGATTTTGGATGTAGGAGTCCTCAGTTGATAGACACTAGAGGGCTCAGAAGATTCAGGATTCTCCTTGTAGTCTCCACTTGAAGCATTGTAAATCTCAAAGTTGTTTGCCTCGTTGATATCCTGTTGAGTTTTGGCTGATATTTCTGAAAGTCCCCTGTCCGTTGGAAGGCCTCTTGTTGGTTTAGCATCTGAATACGAGCCAGTATTGGGAAACTTTGAGGTTCCTTTAGCTGTTGTTAACGTGCTTTGGACAGGAGTGGCTTCTCTAAAAACTGTTGAGGACTCCCTTGAAATATCTGAGAGAAGCGTCTTTGAAGGATTACACACAAATGTGTTGTTTTTGGTCATTTTTGAGTTTGAGGTAGTCTTAGATGTCTTTGAGTTTGAGGGTAAGACTTTCGGACATTCAGAGGTCTCTCTTTGCTCTTTGTTTGTGGTTGAAGTTTCGTTCTGATTCCCTGAAGTCGTCTTGCATGGCTTGTTGACAGGAGGGATAGTTGTGGTAGCAACCTTAATGTGGTCATTACTTGATGGTTGAGTCGATTTAAGTGTCCAACTTGTCTCTACTTGATCAGCGTTTGATATTTTAGAAGTGGAAGCACCTTCAGGGTGTTCTGTAATGGAGGTCTTTCCCATTTTCTGTGTTAAGGAAGTATCTGTACGATCAAGGGTTGGTTTTAATGATGCTTTTGGAGAATACACCCCAATTGTATGGTCCCTAGTTGAGGTTTTAGACAATTTAAGCACTTTTGTGTTGGTCCAGTTCTTCCCAAAGTCTTGGTTAAGCTCCAATTTGATAGATCTACCAATCTCTAAGCCACTGAATCCTCCATCTGTTTCCAGAGAAGCAACTTTTCCTTGTTTAGCTACCAATGTGTTATTGTCCTTTAGATCTGTTGCAGTCTTGGTAGACTCTAATGAATCCAAAGTAAAGGTTTTAGTTGATTTTGACACCTCAGGTTCTTTTCTCTGATCCCCAACAGTGACTTTCCCTGGTTTACTTTTCACGGGCACAGTTGTTTTTGCGACATTATCAATCTTTGCGCCTACAGTTTTGGATTGTTTGGTTGATAGAGGCTCCGAGGGGTTTCGAATAGTTTTAGAAAGCTTTGAAGGTTGCTTTCCTTTATTTTTCTCCATCTTCTCTTCCTCCTTCCTCTCCATTTCCTTGTTGCCTCTCTCGTCCAGATCTTCAGTTTGTTTCTTCTCTTTGCTTCTCCGGTTCCTGTCATCCCCTTCGTTCCTTTCTCGTCTTGGGGTTTTGGTTATTTTGGGAAGGGTAGAGTTTTCTCTGTGGTCTTTCTGGATCTTTGCATTCAACTCGTCCAAAAATCGGATGTGGAAAGAGTCCTGAGTGAACAGAGGATGTTCGAGTAGTTCTGAACACTGGGCGCGTCTTTCTGGATCCATCTGGAGACAACTCTGAAAGAATCAACACAAAGTATTACTGGTTCTGACAAATCAATGAATGCTTGTGAATACTCGTAATGGGACATTCAAGCCAATGTACCTGAGCCAGGTCCAGGGCGGTGGGTGGGATTGTAGGAAAGCGCTGATCCAATGGGACTCGGCCAGAATGTTCTGGAAGTCTGACTCCAGAAAAGCCGGGATTCCTGTAGAACAACTCCTGGTGATGAGCTGTCAGGTTACCTAGGAGAACCCAAGAGAGTAGAAGTGTGTTGAGAGAGTTCAGAGATATTTCATGTTTTTATTCAAAGGTCCCTACTATACTGTTTTTCATCAATATATCTCAGGGGTCTCAGATATACACAGAGCCTGTCTCTGATTGGCTGAAACACCAAACAGGTCATTGCAGCATTACCCATAATCCCCTCTGTTTCAGCCCTGCTACTAAAGTCTGTTAGAAGAGACATGAAGAAGAGGCGACACATGTTGATGTAGAAGAGACATGGAGAAGAGGGGACACATGTTGATGTAGAAGAGACATGAAGAAGAGGGGACACATGTTGATGTAGAAGAGACATGAAGAAGAGGCGACACATGTTGAT